TCACAAACCACCAAACCAGAAAGATCCAATAACACACAGTCAGGTTCAGGAAATTGCCGCAAAGTTTTCCCAACCAGGAAGCAACTTAATAAAAATTAGAACAGCTTGTTCTGTATCCTTAATCATTTGTATTAATGTTCAGATATGATGAAATGGCCCAAATCAAAGCTAGCCACATTAGTTTACTTCCAGAGAACAAAGGCATCAACATTTTCATTCCTCGATCGAAGACTGATATCTTTAGAGACGGCACCTCAACATATCTCCCCTAATGTAGAAGACCCTTTCTCTGCATTTAACATTTTACTACGATACTTCAGGTTGTAATATTCACATAGGCCAAGATAAAATTATATTCACTCCCTTGACTTTCCACTCAAGTACTAAATCGTATAAGTGTCTTGTGAACAAACCACTCAGTTACTCTCGTTGCAGAGAAATCTTTTTCAGTGCTCTAAAAGAGATAGGCGTGACTAATCCAAGTTCTTACGGTCTTCATAGTTTAAGATCAGGTGGAGCCACACACCTCGCACAAAGAGGTATATCTGAAGAAGTTATCATGAACCATGGCAGGTGGAAGACAACTGTGTCTAAGAATAGATATGTAAAATATAGTGTAAATCAGAGATTGAGTGTTGGAAAAATACTCGCCAGCAAGTAAAGTCAAAAAAATAAAAATAAAAAAGAAGAAGAAGAAGAAGAAGAAACTCCGGGCGAAGCCTAAAGGGTCTGAAAGACCACTACAACAACAACAACAACAAAAAAGAAGAAGAAAATACCGGGCGAAGCCTTGAAGGGTCTGAAGGACCATTACAGAACGAAAGAAAAAAAATAAAACTAACTAATGCCAATTCAGGATGTGTGTAATGTTTTTTCTTTAAATAACATTTATTTTGTAAGTAGAAGAATTCGTTATGAGAAATAAGAATTCACTTATAATTGTGAGAAGTATAAGAATTTAATGTGTGTAAATTTAAACACAGGCGTAATAATTTAATATTAATTATTAATACATTTCCATTCAATAATTAACTACAAAAGTTTATAATGTGCATTTAGAAAACGAAAATTAATCCAATGTTCATGTTTAATTAATTACCACAGACAAATCGCATACTCAGTACAGCCTCTCACATTCTTAATTGTTAGCAATTTCCAACATGCACAGGATTCAGTTAATGTCACACTGGCTCTTCCCATGCTTTCAATAAATATCATATCAGAATTCCTTTGTCCCTTGTTGTCATTATGTCTCAGATGTTGGGCATTATAGCCAAACTACTTTTCACGCGGATGAGCGTAGCGAAGAAGCGTGAAATTATAGGGTCTTTACATAGGTTAAGTTTTATGAGAATACGACTTTGTTTTAGGTGAAATTTGCCGGGGTGAATAAAACATGTACAAAGTCTAAGAAATTTGAGTTACATGTATATATAGGTTTTCCCGGCTATTTTAACACTTGTATCACACGAATTCCCTATATCGATACTTTAATATCGTCCCCGAACATCGCCAAGCTCAATTCTCAATTTGAATTTCAAAAAGCCACCACTAGATTTCATTTAAGGTTCAGTATAATTCAAATTGTTAGCACTCCGATTCGTCCAAAATCTTTGAAATTCGTCTCGTGAAGCAATCGGCGTTGAATTGAAAAAGCAAATTCGTTTTTTGTCATTCGTTTTAATGTTCTTGTCGTCACATTTCGTCTCTGGTGGACTTAAAACGTTACCATTAAAAATGTGCCCAATCTTTGGACTTGTTTGCGCATTAAATAAATTTAAATTTTTAACAAATATTTCCGTATAAATGAAAGTATAGCTGTAGGTAAAATAAGAAATTAAACTTTCCCAATAATTGTGCTCTTTGCTTAGCATATGAAAATTAAGCATTAAGATCAAACACCTTCGTAATGTTGCTCTTTGATATATGTATATGAATAAAACAACAGAAATAAGGTATATCTATCAAAGAACAACATTACATGTAAGAAGGTCTTTGAACTTACAGGTAATGCTTAGTGTCCATGTCATAAGTGCATATTGTGAAATGTCAATTCCTGACTCTAATGTTAATTGTGAAACACAGAAATAAAAATTCATACCTTACAGCTAACTACTTTTATTTATACATATAAGGAAATATATGTCGAATTATCATTGTTTTAATACGCATAATTCTTCAAATAAGTCTAAAGATTGGGCGCATTTTCTAATCGTATACGATTTAAGTCACCAGGACGAAATGTAACGACAACAACATGAAAACGAATGACAAAAAAACGAATTTGCTTTGTCAATTCAACGCCGATTGCTTCACGAGACGAATTTCAAAGATTTTGGACGAATCGGAATGCTAACAATTTGAATTATACTGAACATTAAATGAAATCTAGTGGTGGTGGCTTTTTGAAATTCAAATTGAGAATTGAGCTTGGCGATGTTCGAGGACGAAATTAAAGTATCGATATAGGGAATTCGTGTGATACAAGTGTTAAAATAGCCGGGAAAACCTATATTAGAACTAGAAGAAAAACTAGAGCTCTGTTTCTGTTTCTAACAGAACATAGGGCTTTTCCGCATTATTTTTTTTTAATTGAGGTAACTGTTTTTCTGTTTTGTGCAGAACTGTGTGCATTTACCTTTGTGTAATAAACCTAATCGAAAAAGAATTTTTATTTTGGCATATTGCGTTTGTGAAATACGGCAAAAGTCTTCAAAATGTGAATATATATATATATAATCACAAGATGACGTCATGATCAATATTTATTTTTAACACATCCCGGCCCTACCCCCATAAAAAGTTTCAACCCAATCTGACTTACTGCTTAAAATATACAAGTTGATGATGACGTCACATGTCTAATGATGACGTCATCGTAACAATACTTGGCAGTGCTCATTATTTTATTGTGGTTTTTAGTCTGTACCATGTTTGAAAACAATCGGATTGATAAAGGTGTTAAATTTTGTAAGCAAAATAAAATTGGCAATATTTTAAAAATCGTAAAAAATCTACCGATGACGTCATCGTGACGTCATTCGGGATTTTGTGTACTAGTTCTATTATCTTGCATATAGAAAAAAAAAAGGAAAAGAAGAAAAACAAAAATCAGAACAAAACAATGCCTTTCCGCTTGCTTTGAAGCGGAATATGACTGACAGACCCATGTCTTTTTTGGAGGTCTCAAGGGCAAAATAACAAATTGATAAGACTTATGCCTACACACTGTTAGCTTGACACCTTCAGTCTTGGACAATGGAAACATCTTCCTAACCGGCGGAGCTATCAGCCACTGCTATGGGTGTTTTATGTTCCACCATGAAGTCTGCGCAGAGAACTTCAGCATGAAAAATGCTGGTATCTTAAGCCAGAATAAAAAAAAAATGGCGACAGATTTTGTTGACTCGACAGCCGTCTGTTAGGATTTTTGTACCGTTTATATGTCTGGCAACGTTGTTCCTACCTGAATCCTGATGCTGAAGTCGTATTTGCAAAGAAAGCAAATGCATGGAAACCGTCAAGCTTAAATCGCACGATAACAGGCCACTCAGTTGTTTACTCCGGGAGGTATTTCTGTTTAGGAAGTCTCATTTTTTTTCTTAGGAGTATCAATTATTCCGTGAGTCTCTGCGCGCACATGTCACGAGCTTGAGCTCACAGAGCAGCTGTGCGGCAACCTCATTTCTCCTATGCTCCATCATGTAATTGAGATCAATGGGTACCGTAAATGCGCACACGTGAAGCTAGATTTGGTTTCAAGTCTGTGATCATGTTTCTTTTTTCCTCCAAAGCCAATACATATATTGTTCGCTTGTAACAATTATACAACTATTTGTTTATTGTACATGACATGCATTCAATAACATGAGGTCATAGAACAAATCAAAAACTTTTTTTTTTATCCTGGTCTTAAATAAAACAAAATACAATCACAAATACACCTAGTGCTTTTACAAACGAAATGATCTGCAAATCTTGAGAAAAATAGGAACAATTAGCGATCAAAACCAGTAAAATCGTGTATGCTACTGTGAGCAATGAAAACACGTCGAACCATCACGAGCGCTAAAGAAAAAGAGGACGATAATGGCACAAGTTCTGACTATTGTGGGCACTGATGCGGGAGGGCGCTGTGGCATGCTTATAGTGAATCTTTACTTTGGCAGTTACTTTTGTAGGTAAGGAAATATGCAATTATAGGTCCAACAGGAAAGTAGGGAACAAAGTGGACAAAGCTTTTTGGGCTTTAATAAGGGAATAAATGGTAACAGCACCCAGACTCTAAGTGGTCTTAAACAGAGTGATAAATACCGACGGAGCACATATTTATTCCCATTCATAAATACCTTTTCGGTAAGAAAAAATCATATAATTCGTTCAAAACATCCCGATTTTGTTCAACAAATTCACTTTATGCTTTTTGAAACATCCCTCTTGCAAAATAATGGAGTGTTCAGCTGGCGAGTAAGATGTAAACAACCCTTTTATGGAGATTGACGCGCGCGTATCATGTTCTGCGCGATGTCGCGCAGAACGCACCTGGCGCGTTGCGTTTTGAATTTAGAACTATAAAATTCCGACCCCCTGGTAGTGTTGCGCATGCCTACATGAGGATTGTGAACGTTCAACCAATGAAACGATAAGAGGCACTGGATTTTTAGGAGTCCACATTTTATTGTGACACTGGAAAAGTGTTTAAGACCAGCTAGCCATGTCTTTATCATCCGTTTAAGACCGGCCACGTGACGGGCTCTCGACCAATAGGAATAGCTAAACTGTCTGAGGTATTTATGAATACAGCTTTAATCAGATGAAGACCATGGGAGCAATATTTTGTCATTTTGATGAAAACGGCCAATAGTTTCCACAGAAAGTTACTATCCAAATTTATCTGAATAGGCTGGAGCACTCGACAAAAATAACACTTTAAAGTCCACTGACAAGAAGAAGAATACAGCAATGCCAAAATATGTCAGGTGGTTGCACAGTGATCTTACCTTACAGCATTAACCTTGATGAACCCAAGAGCATCCTCTGGCTCGTAGTTACCCTTCATGACCATGCTGACAAATAAAATAAAACACAACAGGGTAAAACAAAATATGATGACTGATTCATACTAGCCTCTAACAGGTTAGTATATAGTCATTACTCAAAATCCCCCCGCCCCAAACCTCAGAACATAGTTGTCCACTTTGCATTCCCTGACATCAATTTCTCTACAGGAAACTTTGCTGTAATAAATTGCACAGGAAAGGAAAAATGTACAGGGTGTGGTCCAACAGTTTTCAAAAATTTCACTATATAGACCACTAGTTTTGTTAACAACAGTCATCTTTTTTTTTTATCACTCCTGGTGATTACTGTAAAAAAAAAGAAAGAAAAAAGATCTGTTTAGATTCCAATTTAGCCTTGTAAAAATGTTCATACTCTTGAAGGATCAATCATTTTTCACTTATAACTTAATACTTTATCAATCAAATTGCAAATACTTTTTTTTCCTGATTTTCACACAGGTCTTGTAATAATTTCCTGGCTTGCAATTTGTTCTTTCCTTTTAGCCTTGAAGTCTAGTTCATTTTTTATCATAAAATTTGGGCCCTTTTCAGATATTACCTGACAAGTTCTTCATTGTACAATGAGGATGCTGAGCAACGAGACTTGATGAACACATTCCCTTTGTAGATCTCTACAGTCACAGTTCCATCCACATTCTCCTGACTCTTGTCAATGCAATGGCGGGTGAACTCACATTCTGGACTATACCAAAAACCTAATGAGCAACAATAGATTAAGTTTCAACAAACCCAACAAACATTTCCTTTGCCGCGCCACTGGGGCGCCCAATCATGCAGCTAGTAATGTGGATATACACTGCGTTGAGACCATTAATGTACAACCACTTTATTTATTTTACCGAGAGAGTGGCAACATAATGATAAATTTTACATGTATGCAACATTTCACCCGACTTTTGTCCAGATTGCCAACAATTTATTTCAAAGGTCTAGGTCAAAAGATATGCACATGCGTTTACATTAATGGAAAAATGGGAGGGGGGGGGGGGGAATGCACGTCCCCCAAAATCCCCCCCCCCCCAGAAGTGTGGTTGGGGTCTACGAGTGAATACTTACCTGTAGAGCAATACTACTTATGCATATTCCCTATACCAGCAGGTATTTCATTCTAAGAGTTTTATACACTAGCGCCCTCTGGCATGCCCCGTGAGCGTCCTCTTTTCTCGAGCATTAAGTCAGAACACACCCACCCACACACCCACCCACGGAAGGACAAGGCGGAAACAGTATGCCCCTTCGGCTTCGCCGCGGGGCATAAAAACATTACCTGCTTATAATTTTTAAGTTGTGAGAATTATCCGTTAAAACTTAAGATTGCGCTTTGATTACCGATCAGTATTCCAAATGTTGAAAGTTCTACATTCACTGTTAAGAATACATTGGAGGAGTTGTAGACTGTGTTTTACATCAGTAGGTACATCATGTGTTCACTGTTGTACAAGAGACTCCATCTGGTAGATAAGGCAGCGAGTGCATCCAGCATTATTTTTAGGGTCAGCAGCACGATTTTGGTTATTCAAGCAGTGTTATGCTGCATGCATAACATTCAATTGGAAATGCAGACTTGCAAGTAGTCACGTGTGCCCATCCACCAGAAAAAGTCCTCTGCTATGATAGTCTTCTTTAATGATCTAACAGGCGAAGTTGTTATCGTGCTGTAATTGAAATTGTTGAAGAATTGTTTTACATCAGATAGATGTCTTGTTACCTTTATAAGGCTTTTTTTTCCATATAATACCGTGATCCTAACTCTTGGGAGAATGTTACTTTCAGAATTATTGTATCATCCTGGGCGTATGATTCTTAAAACGGGGATGTTGTGGGGAAATTGATTGTATATGTAGTACCTTTAAACTGAGTTCTAAACTGCCCCTTTAAGGCGAGTTGTTTACAATGTGCACATCACAACGGGTGCAGTGCACGCCATCCGTTAAACAAGAACTAGTTCTGGATCGTCCCATGTTTGTAACCCTTATTTGATGTATAATTCATCTCTTGGTGATTACTTTATGTGAAGTGAGTTAAGGAAATATTTTTTTGTAATAAGACATTTGAAATCAAGGGCTAATGCAGATTTAGTCAAATGGAAATGGCCCATGGATATATATAAGTTGATGAGTAATATGGCCTCTTTCAGCGTTGCTCGAGTCACCTGAGGAAATAGGGCTCACGGTGAGAGACAATTTTATTGAATTTTTGCTTATATTTAATTGTTTTCCAACACTCCATGTGTTGAGGGGTAGCATCAGATAGAACAGACCTCAGAGGTGTGGTTTTGCTAGAATTAAAGATACAGTCCATCATTTGCAGCTATCCAAAAAGTAACAGACATAATTACTGTGGAAAAACATACTTGGTTTAAAGATAGTAAGGGGACTAAACTCCCTGTGAAATTATTCTTTCTGGCATGCTGTCATTTTGAAGAAATCAATGAAAGAAGGCGTCTAAAGACGTGTTTTCGAGCTTCTTCTCTTCATATCGATGCACACGCGTTGACACGACGTACACGAGCGCGCAGTTGCTATAATTCGTCGGTTCAGTGCACAACTTCGCGTAGCTGCAATTGGCTCAGTGAGAACGTGTTTTGAAGCTGAATTCAGGCCCAATTCAAAACAGTTGACCCAATTATCAACTTTTTATTTGCTAATGAGATCCTAGGATGTTTTTTTTTTCTCAGAATATACAGCATTCACTGAGCTGAAACTTCATCAGGTTAGTTGTTCAGTACCTTTCTTTAGATTTTGAGCACTTTTGCTGCTTCTAACGAACAGAATGCACAAATTACAAATGATGGACTGTACCTTTAAGCTCAGGGGTTAGCTCGGAAAACAGCTGTAATTCTGCACTCGTGCCAGCAGATTGTTTTATTCATTGAACTACAAGATTATTGAAGATATTATATGTTTAACCCTAAAAGGGCCGGAGGGGGGGGGGGGCGCCTAATCTGCCAACTTTTTCCACGATACCCTTGAAAAATTTTTTTCGTGACCCGAGTTCTGACTTTTTAGCCTCGAGTCTTGCGCATCTTTTGATACCAAATACATAAAATTCGGACAACGGGTTGGCGCGCAGCCAAAACTGAATTTCCCCATATACGTAGTGTACACAAAGCAGAATTACAATTCATGCATATGAATAATTAATTAGTCATAATAATTCTTTGACCTATAGTCATGAAATTTCTTGGGTATGTTCATGATAAGTTGTTCTATGTATTTTCTTAAGTTTTCGTCACTCGATGGCCGAGATCTTTGGGGGGGGGGGGGGGTGGTCAGAACCACACACCCCCTACAGCTGTGAGATTGTCAAAATAACCCGGCCCTTTAGGTTAAATGGTAATTACTGTGTGATGGATTTTTTTTGTGGACAGCTAGCTCAGACCATGACTGTACCATATCTACCCACATCTAATATAAATGTAACACCAAATAGGTGGCGTCGTTTATGTTATTGACATGACTGGGGCAAATTCTAGTCTTCTGGAAAGTTCCGAATAAATCACATGGCACACTGAGAGTCCACAGCACGGAAATGTGTCCGTATTCATTTATTTACACAATCCGGCATCTTTACATGGTGGCAGCGGTAAACTCAAACCAGTCTCCAGCCGACAAATTACCGCATAAATTTGCCAAATTGTGCCACAATGAACGATCTGAACACCGCGGTCAACAAGCTCCCGTGACATGCCATGATAATCCGAGCCACCGCCGCTACGAAACCGGGACTAAAAACCGCTAAGACGACCTGAAAACTGTACGTCTGTACGTACAACTTTGATAAACAGTAGCTTCACTGCCCAGTGCATCACCTCGGACGACAGTGGTGCAATAATACTGTGAAAAAGTTTGTCTAATAAGTGACTGTTGGACTCATGAAAATGTCATATACGAGGGGGCCATATTTATACATGTACATGTAACCGAGCTGGGAAGGTTACGCAGAAAATTTGAAAGTGACACTGGGTATATATTCCACTTAATTGATAAAAATTGTATTACTACAAAAAAACGACAGTCATTCTTCAGCAGTCTGTAATAACAGAAAACAGAATAATAGAAATTAATTTCATTTCATTACAAATATACAATGAATATAAATCCAATTATTCAATTATTCAATTATTTGAAATAACCATCTCTCCTTATCCTTGGTTATCTCTCGTCAGAAGAAATTGCATTAGCGATTTTATAAACCTCAATTTCCATTTATTTGTTCCATAGAAATGTTTCTGGTACGAATTTACAAGTACATTTCTTAAGACAGGCATAAAAGTATTAAAGACATGAAAATTTAATCAAGGAGAAATAATCTCCACAAGCACCTGTTATGCAATAATTTTACAAAACATTAATCTCCAAATCTCCAATTCTCCAATTTCTTAGGCACATTTCAAGCAATAATGTTTTATACACGTACCCAAATGTTATGGATGCTGGATAAGGGATACACTGGTCTACTCGAGAAGGCTTCTCTATTTGTGACCATCAGGAACCACAGAACCACAAGCAGTAGCTGTAATAAAATTACTATACATATTAAGTAATCTCATAAATATTAATAAATGTTTCGATGAAGGAATATTAAATAATCATCAGTGCCATCAAAATGTTTCATCTCCACAGTACATGTGTACACATCCGTAGTTATTCTATATTGACGAATTTACAATGCATTTTATACAGTACATCTATTTCTTAACATTTGTTTGTTTAAACAGCAATGCTCATAAAAAGAGTATTCAATATTCTGTATTCGTACATCCATCTATATGTCTCATGTGTTTCATTTCAGGCTAAAACATTCTCTTATTTCTCTTTCCATCCACGCTATCCAAATTTGAGTTCAATAAAGTGCATTGACCCTATAATTCAACATATTTAGGATCGAAGTATGAGCAAGTATACAGTCAATATTACAAGGAGGTTCGGTATCGAAAATTCAAGTCATATTATGCACAACAATCTTCATATAGACTTGGCTTTCAACCTGGGATATTTATTTTATGGCATAAAAATGTTTCATACAGACTTGGCTTCCAACCTCGAGTATTCATGGCATAAAAATGTGTCGTAAAGTGCTATTTAAGATAACATCAAAATTTACGAAGTTGAAACACTTACCGGAGCAGTTGCGGCCTGTGTACCTATGCCTCGGGATGTTTGGGCAAACTACACGATATGCATGTACACGATGTGTGTATCATGCGGCGTGCTAACCATGGCAAAACCACGTACGAAACACGGCAAAATATAGACAAGCTGGCTCGAAATAAGGTGTGGCTGGCTGCAGCGATGACGAGCAGTCAAGTGACCTACCCATGCTTGCTTACTCTCCAAGAAAACTAACGAAAAATTCAAGGAATGTGCGTCCGAAGCCTTATGCTTTTGAAACACTGCACGGAATAAAAGGTAATTACGCAACTCAGCAGCTATATTCAATGGAAAACACAAGAGGGCGCTCGCAATGCTTCAACAACTTTCGCATCGCTCGTTTATGTTAAAAATATAAGACATCGACAAAGAAACATTTTACAGACGGGACCTGGCAGCATAATTACAGAAATTAAGTCTGGCCGGTCACAATCATCCGAGATTAAAAATTGTGTAATTGGGGAAGTAAAGAACTAGCTGTAAGAGACATCTAATCTCAGATTCTGGATTCTAACTTCATTGAAGAAGAGACTGAGTTGACC